CCTTGTTTCCCCTAGCGCCCCCTGGCATAACAAGGAATAACGGCCACAAGTTGTTGGAGAGTAGGTTTAGATTAGACATCCGTAAGAACTACTTCACAGTCAGGGTGGCTAGGATCTGGAACCAACTTCCAAGAGAAGTGGTGCTGGCTCCTACCCTGGGGGTCTTTAAGAGGAGGCTTGATGCCTACCTAGCTGGGATCATTTGAGCCCAGTTTTTCTCCTGCCCAGGCAGGGGGTCAGACTTGAAGATCTACAAGGTTCCTTCCGACTCTACTTCTGTAATTCTACGTGGAAAGTTGGAAAGAGATAGTGACTAGCTGTGGTGTGTTCATGTGCTTAATTTCAGGATGGTTTTTGATTTTTATAACTCAAGATAATTTTGACACAACTTTTTAAAATTTTGCCAAAACACTTCTTTGCCATTAGAGTAAATATAGTAATTTCCATGCTAGAACAGTTTTCCATATTAAAGATCAAAATATAGCTTTTTATTTAAACTTACTGCAACTTGAGGCTCTGATCCTGCAAAGATATAACCACCTGTATAACTTTACACCATGAGTAGTTAGTGGGGCTACTGACTGCACAAAGCAAAGCAGGTACATGCATCTTTTCTAGTTTGGGGCTCCTAGTTCTGTCCTTAGAACACAGTGAAAAACCCTTGAGAATTGCTAAGTACCTTTTTTACATGAAAAATGAAGCAAAATCATAGAAACTTAGGGTTAGAAAGGACATCGGGAGGTCATCTAGTCCAACCCCTGGCTCAAAGAAGGGCCAGCCTCCTCCTATATCATCCCAGCCAAGGCTTTGTCTACCCAGGTCTTAAAAATTGCCCAAGGACAGAGATTCCACAGCCTGTTCCAGTGCTTTACTCCTAGTGAGAAAGTTTTTTCCTAACATCTAACTTAGGCCTCCCTTGCTGCAACTTGAGCCCACTGCTTCTTGTTCTGTTATCTGCCACCATTGATAACAGTGTGGCTCCATTTACTCCCTGCTCATGCTTCCTTTTTATAGTTCAGAGGTCACATAATCTTGTATCATCTAAGTGCAGAGTTCCACCATTACTACCAAGAGTCATTTGGGATTAATGTAAATATAGTTTAAGTGTTTGGTTTAGCCCCACGTTCATTTTTAGTTGGATGTTTTTTGGCTGAATTTTCTGTTGTCCCTGAGCATGTCTGAAAGTATTTGAATTCCAGTGTTGATTTATTTGGTTTTTTTCCCCCAAGTGTAATTTCTAATCTTTTTCTGCTTTATAACTGGCAACACTTGAAAGCAAGAGAATAAGAGTATTAGCAGTATTTGGGTGCACAAAGTGTGGAATCTTTGAAAAATGTTTTGAAAGTTGTGTGTCATATGCATATACTACTGTACCAAAGCTGCTTTTCTGGATTATAGGGTCATGTGTCAATCTCTCAACCAATGCCTAGACAACCACTAGTGCAGAAAGTAATGCAAAGATGGTTTGGTCCATATCTTCCTATCTCAACCAGTTGGGGTATGTTTTGTGGGTGGGGAGTGGTAATCCTGTAAAGAATAATATGTTTCAGCTTTAATTATAATAGTGTTAAAGGATGAGGGGTGAGGATAAAGTGTAGGTCTTCACTGTGAATTTTACTTCTCCACGGTACAGTTATTTGGACCAAAAATAGTTTATGGTAATTCACTGTCAGGCCTCATTGTTTTCCCAGAAGAAAATCCATCTAGTGTTATAGTCTGCAGGCAAGTAATATTCATAATCATAACTGATGTGGACAATAAGATAAGAGCATATATTTCTCAATACTTCTGTGTCTTTCAGTCTTCCAGAAAGGCCAGGCTTTACAGAGGTCACCTTTCTGACTTACGCAGAGCTGCTGGGCTGCTGCCAGTGGGAAAGCTCACTCTTTCTGTTTGTTTTCCCCTCTTGTTCCTTGCTGTGCTGCAATAACATTCTGCCAGCAGAGAGCAGTGCCGCCTGTCATCAACAGCTGAGGGAAAGTGCAAATGAACAGATGCTTGGATACATTGGGAGGAACACAGGAGAGTGCTGAGGCCATTGATTTGGTGGTTGAGATGAGAGAGAAAATAAGTTTCAAATGATGGGGAAGAGTACAGAAAATTTAGGTGGAAGACAGAGTAGGTATCATTTAGATAGGGACAAGAAAAGACATTATGTACTAGAATACAAAATTAGGAAAATGATATGGCATGGAAGATAGATCCAGAGTAGGTCAATGTACTAAAACTGTACTTAAAGTATCTATGTCTGCCAGGTCTTGGGGGGGAATCGCCAGATCCTGATCTACCATAGGCAGTGCCCATACTCAGAAAGTTTAGGTACTAGTGTTTTCAATACCTTTTGTCTTTCATCTTTATAAGCTTTTCAGTGTCATTAACAGGAATTATCTTTGTATCCAATTATTATAATTGATCCTATGATTAAAAAGCATGAGCAGAGGCTGATTTTCCCATTGCTGCTCTTGGCAGCATTGTTCCCTTTTCATATGCATTTGCCAGATATGCAGGGATTGTGTCACAGGCCTATGGATTTATTTTTACTCTTCATTAAGAAACACTTCTTATAGGAGTTGATACTTTAAAAGTATCGTGGATTAAGTTCTCCAGGTGATCAGACAGGCGTCAACCACTGGTGCTAGGACACTACTAAACTTCAGCAGTTCTTCCCAGCCAAGCAAAGCAGAGTAAATTTGGAGTGAATAGAGGGCTTAGGACAGCCATAGACTTTGGGAAGGGGAGGTGGCTGGGAAGACAAGGCATATATTAAATGGATTGTGGTCTGGCCTGTCAGCACGTTCTTTATAAGATCCATGGTCCTAAGGATTCTTCTTTACTACTAGTTAGATGCTAAAATTCAGGTGTTTTACTTTTTGTTTTATTTGGTAATACTGGTATTTGCCCTAATCCTTTGTAAAATTATTGTCCTATGTCAGATCTATGTCTTTGTAATAGAGATATCAGATTTGTTTAAGACTTTCTAAAACAGTACAAAGAAGCAAATGTAATTGCTTGTGAGAGTAGGGGATATGTGAATTCGCTTCATGGTTATCTAGGTGGCTTTTCCTGTTGCTTACTTTGCTTTATAGTTTTGCATATAGCAATCAGTAATATGTATACAGAAGGCTGGAAAGATGCCTGCAATTCCAAAATGAACTCTCTGTAGCTCTCTCTCTCTCCCTCCCACCCACTCTCTCCTTTAGAACCGCCCCTTCCATGCTCCCTTTAGCCAGCAGCAAGACAGCTGTGTTTGATCATAAACCACTTACAACTCCAGGCTCAGTGGAAGAGGAAACTTTAGCGTGAAGTGCAGCATCGGTTTGTCTCTGCTTTTTTTCCCCTTCTCTTCCCCTTTCGCTGAAGACTTAGCAGCACTCTGTGTTCTTGCAGTGAATTTGTGTGAAGCTCATGAAATAGTTCCCAGTACATTTAACTCCTATGGGAGATGCCCTCAAAGCTAGCTGGGAAAAAGGGCAAAATAAAACGAAAGGCAGAGCTGAATCATAGATTTCACGTGGACTTGGGCAATTTTAGTATTGAAGAGATCATTACGGTCTGTCTGCATTCTCTGCGATCGTGCTCTCTGCAGTGTTAATGAGTCTCTTGCAGGAATGGATTGTTTGTGAAATGAAAACCGATTAGGCTGTTTTAGGAGCCCTTGCATCATTAATTTAGGCTGTATAATTGTTGACTGAAAATGGCTGTCTAGAGCAAAATGTGCAAGACAGAAAAATCTTGGAGGAGAATGGAGTGTTGAATCCATTGAGCAAAGGTTGGAAACATTAAAATCTGTAGAAAGAACCAAACCTTGAAAACTCTAATCATGAATTCTGGAGTTGCTATGAAATATGGAAATGACTCCTCTGCGGAGCTGAGTGAGGTAAGCAGACCCAGTGTCCTTGGATTTTTTTGTTATTATTTATTTATTTTAAATACTGTATCATTCCCGCTTGGGCTTTTAGTCTGCAGGCAGTTTGATTAAAGATTAATAGAATGTGTATTTTTGTTCTAACTTGCAGTGTCAGTCAGGAAATGACCTGAACTCGCTTGCTTTTCTGCAGTCTGAGTAAATGGTAAAAGGCAAATGGTTATAACCAAGCAGACACATTTTTTTTCTCTTCTCCTGCAGCAAGGATTCCCTCACCTCCCAAGTGCTGCATTTATACATAGCATTCCTTTTTGTAGGATGTAGAATACACAAAGATCTCAATTGAGATGAAGCAGATGGTAACTAATTTGGAGTGAAGAGCTGAAAACAAACAGCATTATTAAGCCAGCAACTTCAGTAGAATCACATGGTATATTTGATTCTTTTCAGCCAAGGTATGCTGTTCCTTCAGATGAGATAAATATTTGGTTGGGGGAAGGGAGAGGATTTGAAGCTATGGAGAACTTCTTGTTTTTCTCCTTGCAGCCTGTGGTAAACTACTATATTGTGTATTATTTTGTGTTGCAGACATGTCTGCAATCTTTATGCTTTTATAGTAGTATGCTTTTAAACAGTTTGGAAGTAAAGCCATATCAAATATTATGCAAAGGTTTAAGCAGTACATTAGTAAACTTCATCATCTGATGGTTACTGAATTGCCTTGGGCACATCAACCTAACGGAGTTGATAGTTTTGAAAATTGCTAAATTTTGTAAGCAGTTATGGGTTGTACACTGTAGCCAAAGATTACAAGTGGTTTTAATATTCTACAAAATACATTCTACAAAATGTTTCCCGGTTTAAAAAAAAATCCTTTTCCCCTTACATTTATTTTATGCTATAATTCATTTTTAAGCCATCTTTACACAAAACATTTCTCAAAATGTTTCCCAGAAAAGGGGAGTCTAAGGAGTTAATGGCTTACAGAACAAGGTATCAGTGTCATACAACTAGAAACAATATACTGAGATGGACAGCTGACAAGTAAAATAGAGACTAACAGCTATCCTGAGCAGACCAGCACAAGTGAGGGTCAGTGGAAATGTGTGGGGGAGAATGGGCATCATACAGTTTGATATGGCATCAGCACAGAATTAGGATTTACAGTTTCTTCTAGAATAGAAGTTTTATGTGCCTGTTTGTCTGTGTAATAAGTCCTGTATAGTTAGTTCACTATGGATCTTTCAAGGAGACCTTAAAATTTTAGTCTCATTAACTCAGCATAACCTTTAAGTTCCTTGAATGTTTTTGTGAAAGGTGCCCTTAGCCAAACCTGTCCTCCCCATCACGTTTATGCAGTTGTATGCACATATATGCACGCTTATTGGTTGCTGCCTTCCATTCTCTCTCCTAACTTGGGAGTAGGTTTTGCTTTTGTACCCATTTCAAAAGTGAAAGTTTCCAAGTTGTGCGATAGCCAGTGGAGCATTGTGAGAGGAGAATGCTAGAGGATAGCCATCAAGAGCAAATGACATGTCACAGCAATACTTGCTTCTGATTGACTGCATTTCAGTACTGTTTCTGATTTGAGTCCACTTCATTTAGTCCCAAGACAAGACTTCAAGCTATGTTATTTCTTCTGCTCTAATTCAGTGATATTTCTTCTGACCTGTTAACTTCGGACACTGGTCTAGGGCAACGGCCAAGTGCAACGCAAGTCCTGGACCATCTGGAGCAGGCTCTGCATGGGGCACATATCCTGGACCAGCCCTGCATGGGTGCTGTGTGCAGTACAGGTCCTGGGTCATGCATGTGAGGCTGGTCTGGCAGTGTATGGATGAACTTTGAACCTAGGGGCTGGCTCCAGATGTGCAGGCAAGTGCAGTTTTTGGCACCACAAACCTGTTTGTGGTGCCACAAACCGCATGCCCAGCATGTTAAGCAGGGAAAGGGCAATTTGTCCAAAATGAGGTATTTTGCTCAGCACCAAGTGAACATGTGGGGGTGTGCGCAGCAGCAAAAATAGCAGCAGCACAAATAGCAGCAGCAAGCACACACCTCTGCATGCAGGGACATGTCCGGGGACAGGGGGCTGGATGATGGGGCTAAGTGGTCTGTATCTTTGACACCCCTGATATAAAGGAAACAACTGGAACTAGTTCATTTTCCAATAAATCCATTGAGTTTCTCTCTGCACCCACCTCTTGCATCCCATTTATGTATCATGCCACCTATTGCATCAAGTTGACTAGCAGGTATGGCAAGTGAGCTAATACATACAGCAAACATAATTATTCAACAGGGGGATTAGGGAGCATCAGTATCTTTCTTAATGCACAAATTCTAGCCATAGAGTTATCATTAAGAGAATGAATGGAAAATGTATAAAGCCTTGAATATACATAGCATATATGGAAGTGTGCATGCATTTTAATATACACATTTATAGTGTGCATATTTATCCAGGTAGGCAGAAAAAATAACTGCAATACATCAAGTTTCCAACAGATATTTTTTCCTGAGTTTTATATCTTTTTTTGGAAAAAACAATCTGTCCATCTTCCTCCTGCCCCATCCATCCAATTAGAGATTAAAAAGTGCAGGAGTGGGGTTTGCTTTTGATTTGCTGATGTACTATGAATTTAATCTCTCATTTTATTGTATGAGTAAAAAAAGATCTTAATAACCTGTTTTCCTTTGTTTCTTTGTTGGTTTTGGTTCACAGTGAAAGCAAGGAAAAGCATCACATAAAGCAAGTCATGATCCCACTAGAGCAGTTTGATTTCAGTGCTTCCCTAGCTCCAGAGTTCATGTTGTTGATATTGGTGCATGCATCAGCAGCTCCTCCATGTGACCTGTGCCCCGCTCCATGCTTCCCCTAAACCAGAGTTTCTTCACCTTTTGAGCCTCAAAGCACCCATGGATAGACTTGAGGCACCCTTGAAAAATGCTGGCTCTTATTTTTCACTCTTTTGGTTTACAGAAACTGCTCTAGCAGTTTTTCTGTTGCAAAGAACTCTGAAAGACCACAGCTGTGGATGTCTATTTGAAGTCTCTGGGTTTGTCTTGAGTCAAGCTTGTAAACTTAAGTGCTAACATTGTGTGGCACCCTGTGTCACCCTTGAAAGGATCTTGAGGCACCCAGAGTTCCATGCACCCTGGTTAAGAATCACTGTCCTGAACCCTTCTCTTCTAGAAGACAAATTAAAAGTCAATATTGTTGCATAAATTGCTGATTTTATCCCCTGGAGGCTAGTCCAATTTACCTCTAGAAGAGAGTCACACTTTCAGGCTGGATCCAGCTCTATTTTACTGCTTGCAAGCAGGCCGACAGAGGAGCTTGTTGCTCAGATCAGTGTCGACCCTAAACAAAGAGCGCACGTGGCTTTTATTGAGCTAGCATTTTTTTCAGTTGACGTGTTACATTTTGATTGGTCATTTCAAACCAAAACCTGAGCAACCTATAAGACATACGTAGTGGGCCATCCTGTACCATGTGGGTGGAAAGTTACAGAATGCAGGGGTTAATACTAAAACAAGGAACAAAGAAACATAGAGAAAAGTATCTATTTTCACTACAATATGACATTTGACCAGATAAAGTAAATTACTAAATGATGGGAAAAGACAGCATTCTCCTTGCATGATATTCAGGCACACAGCATTTTTTGAAAGTATGACACACTGGGAGAGGCTTGTTTAAAAAATCTGAAATCTGCTGACGACTATTTTTGCAATCCATCAGAATGTAGGTCAGATTTTGTTAACTTTGGAAATAAGTGATGAAGTCCAGCAAGGTTTTCTTCTAGCGTTGTGAAACAGGCTTGCTGCTGCTACTGTTGTGATATAGCATTACTTTGAAGAGTTTATTTTATGAGGATTAATCAGGAAGCTTGTTTTGGTTTATGGACAATATGTAGCACCATGAATTAAGTAATTGCTTCACGGTCCTTCATTTATCTAGTCTTGTGATACTGTACATTTTTTACTGTAGCTACACAATACAGTATATTTTTCAAAGCCAGCACTGAATGTCGCCGAAGAGGTTTCGCAGGTAATGATTTATCCAGTTACAAAATTAATTGATAACATTAAAAGTGAAGAAGTTCTAGGAAAGAACTTCCACACTTTTTGGTAGTATTACTAACCAGCTGACTGGTATACAGTGAACTGTTTGCATACAAAATACTGGACTTTGTAATCTGAATTTCAGTCTTCTAAGTGCCCAATCCTTCAGTCATTTTACTGTTCCTTATACTATTTTGAGTGCTTGCATGACGGGAGTAAAGTTAAACACGTGCATAATTGCTTGTAGGATTGCTGTTTTACCAAATACGTATTTAAGGGCCAAGTTCGTCTTGGATGTGCATGAAAAACTCCCATCAAACTGAGTAGAATTACGTTTCAGACAACAAAAGCCTGATACTCCATTGTTTCAAAGCAGCTGTCATTTTAAGTGTGAAGGTTTTGTTTTATCTGAGTGATAACCATTTCCTCTATTACTTGTACTGTAGGCTGTGATAGGGATATAATTTCTCCAAATGGGTAAATTCTTTCCTCTCCAGTAAATTAGAAAATAACCCTTCTAGTCAGATGCATAATTTTGTGCCTCTGCTTCTCATTATCTCTCCTTGGATCTCAGGTGTTCAGAAAATAAATGCTGTTGTTAACATTCTTAGATACATTTGTCTGTCCTTTAACCACTGAGATCGCTTAAAACAGACAAGTTGATTTCCTGCCTACCTTTAAAAAAAGGACATTTACCAAACTATTATTTACAGTTTATTTCAAATAAATTTTTCAATAGTCAAGGGACTTTTGTGATCCAGGAATGAGTTTTCATGGGAAGAGATTGATTTCACTTCTTATCATTACACTGCTTACTCCTACTTTAAAAAAATCATGCAGAAGAACACAATACATAAGGCAAACCTTCTTGGAGTCCTGTATGCCAGTCAGTAATGAGTGAAATTTGCAATGGATCATGGGGTGGGGCAGATGCCAGAGACAGA